ACCTTGTGCTGGCGCTTGGAGTGGATGGCGTCGGATCCCCTAAAGATCATGAGGCATTCCTCGGTGTTAGGGAAGCTATCATCATCCTTGCCCGCCGTGCCTCCTTTCTTGGCCACCTCCTCCTTGCCCTTCCCTTCCTTTGGCTTGCCTGCCTATCATAGAAAGCGCTTGAGGAGCTTGTAGTCCTTGTAGAGGTGCTTGATAGGGTAGGTGTGGTTGGTGCATGGACTATCCATGAGCTTGCCGAAGTGGTTAGGCTGGCCCTGCTGGGGCTGATTGCCCGCACGATCGGCTGCGGCGACCAAAGTTGGGTTGGTCGGTCGATGCCGATCTTTCTTGTTCTTCTTACCCTTTTGCATGGAGGGGCCCTCGCTTTGGTCCTCGTGCTTGGCCTTGCCCCTATCCTGACCGCCACTGAAGACCACCCCGACCGCCTCCTCATCGAAGGAGTGGTTCATGGCGATGTCGAGCAGGTCGCGGGTGGTCCGAGGCTTCAGACAACCAAGCTTGTGGATCAAGGACTCATATGTTGTCCTAGAGAGGAACACGCTGATGACGCCCGCGTCGATGACATCAGGAAGGGAGTTGCACCGCTTTGATAACCTACGAATGTAATCCCGTAGGGACTCGTTAGGCTCCTGCTGGCGGCTCTTAGGCTCCCAGGAATTCCTAGGACGAACATATGTCTCCTAGAAATTTTCAACGAAGACCCTCTTGAGATCCGCCTAGTCGCGGATGCTGTCGGGCGGGAGGAATTCGAGCCATGCTCGAACATGCTCCCCTACGCAGATGGTGAGAAACTGAATGATGAAGTGGTCATCATCCACTCCTATAGCTCGATAGGCGGGCCGGAAGTCTTCGAGCCATATACCGGGGTTCATTTCCCCGGTGTATCTAGCGATGTTGGTGGGTGGTCGGAAGCGCAGTGGGGCTCCAGTCATTTGGTCAGCCACCATGCCTGGGATGCGTGTCCCTGCACTCCTCGATGGTCAGGCCAGGGCCCGTGCCACCTGCTCTCGCCGCCACTTGATGGACGTCATCATCGTGCCGGGCATGGCGTCGATTGTTGATGACGCTGCGAGCATCATGGTTCGACCTGAGCCGTTCGCGCATAGGTGGTCGGTGTGGAGTGGGCGCCGGGTCAGGCTATGGTGCAGCCGTGGACTCCTACCCCACGGGCAGCAACTGTAGTGGTGAGTGGATGGAGTGATTCGACTTGTGTGGACCCATTCCCCCGATGGGGCAAGAGGCCGTGAGCCGGTGTCGCGATGCGGGGCTCTCCACCTGTTGAACGGCGGTGGTTTCCACCAGTGCCCGGAGGTTCCGGTGGATTGCCTCTTCCTATGGGTCGGAAGGCTCGGGAAGGCCGCGCAGAAGCATCACCGCAACAACGATGTTCTGGCCAGCCCAAGCAAACTATGGGGGATCATTCCCTCCGTCTAGATTGTTACGCTGGACCTGGCGAGCTGACCCCGAGCGTCGCTCGCTGGGTCACACGCACATGACGTAGCGTGCTGCGCCGAGCGCGCCAGCATAGGTGGCAACTGACTCTGTCGCCTTTGTCGTAACTCCTTGCCTTGCGCCTGCGCACGCGTGAGGGCTTCGCACGAGGGTCCGGAGGGGTATGAGTGTGCAGAGATTCCGCTACCACCGGTGGCTGTCCTGGGGCATCCGCCATAGCGCACTCCCAAGGTGGAGGGTGGCCAGGTGCTACGACGTCGTCGATGCTAGAGCCGTCGCTTTCGACCTCATCATCTACGAGGTCGTGAAAAGAGGCGGTGCGTAACCCGCCATCCCCACGAATTTGGATGTGAGAGGGGGTAGCGTTAGCATCCTTCGGAGCCCCCGCGCGTGCGTGTCCCCGAGGGACTCGAAGCCGTAGAGGAACTGGTCGCACGACAGTCGTAGTGGGGACAACGGGGTCCCTCCGGAGAGTCGGCGGAAGGTTTTATATAATGAGAAAGAACAACATATACGTTACTTACCGTGGAGTTTTAGACCAGCATGGGCTCGAGGTGAAGCGCGAGGGTTTCAACGTTGAGGTCGTCGAGTCGCCCGGGGCCGATGGAGGGCGCTCCTCCTCCAGTGGACGCTGGGACGAGCGCCTCCTCACGGAGGCGGAGTACGCTGAGCCGATCAGCGATGAAGTCCAGACTCTCAAAAAGGAAGGTCTAGAGTGGCACGAAGACGGGAGGAACCCACATCTTAACAGGTGGGAGCGTGGGGAACTCTAGCGAGCCGAAGCGAATCGTATCGCTCGAGCCCGCCATGATGAAGATGTGCAAGGGTGGGCCATTTGATGACCAAAAGCGTGAACGCATGGCGTCCCCCCCACGTACGGCGCCAACTGTCGATGCGAAAAGTGACCAACAAGTAAATATTTGTAGTTTTGTCGTGCGTTGTGATCGGATGTGGCCTAGCACTCAATGACACAGGATTTATACTGGTTCATGCAACGTGCCCTACGTCCAGTTTCAGTCGGTCGGTGACTTTATTCCTGAGTCAAGGTGCTCGAAGTTTGCTGTGGGGTTACAAACGAGTAGGAATAAGAAGCGGGGTGTTAAAGGTCCGGTCGGACTCTGAACCGAAGGGCCGAGAGTGATGGGGGCTCTAATGTGCGCTAAGTATTAGAGCGTATGCTCTGTGTAGCTTTAGAGTTCTAGAGCTATTGAGCTATTCGAGTTCTTAGGTCCTCGAGTGCTCGAATCGTCTAGCTTTTCTTTTTTTAGGAGAGACAGAGAGCCAGAGAGAGCTTTTTAGGAGAGAGCTCATCCCCTTTTATAGTTGAAGGGGATGGCCTTACAAGTCAGAGAAAGAGAGGGAATGTATACGTGTGCTACCTAGTCTTGTTGCCCACGCTGTCGGGTACGAGACGGTCGTCGGCGCCCATGATACTGTTTATGTCCAGATTCATGTGGCAAGCTCTACCGTGTTCGTCTGGTATGACAAACGTCGACGTCTACAATACTGTTTATGTTCTGACACGTCTGGAATGTTGTATAGTGCCCATCTGGCATGGTCTGGTGGCATCGTCCTGCAGGTGCGTTGGGTGTGGCAGGGTACGGTCATCGGTACTATGGTTTGACTTGAGCGCCTTACCTTGTCTGCCTCGCCTGATCCCCGGGCCCTCACCGAGCGGGCGTCTCCGGTCGGTCGTTCCTAGTCGGCCTCGACCGTGTTGGTCGGGGAAGAGCCGTGAGCAGAGGTCCGGTATATCCCTGGTCGGAAAATGAGGTTGGAGTCGGACTGTGTCCCCCACCTTGGCGAATCCTTTCGGTCGGGGTCCGGATCATTCTCCCGGCCTGTCATTATGTATCTGGGCCGGCCCGGGAGACGCACGTTGTCGCTACGCCGTCTGCTGGGCCGAGTTTTTACAGGGAAGCGGTTCATTGGGGATCCCAGGTTTATGAACCTGACACTAATATAATTAAAAATATACTAACATTTATGACACATAAGTAGTATCATTAGATAGACTTTTGAATATATTTTTATGATCTTATTATAGATATAAATGTTGTTAATACAGACATATTTAAACTTATGAAAGGTGCTAATGAAGACAGAATAGCACCAGTTCCGTAGCGAGCGACTCTTTTTTTTTATGGATGGAATAGCAAGGATGCCAACGTACATCCGACTTGGTGATGTCTTTTAAAGATAAACATCTTGACATGTTTTCCAGATAATATGCTCTAAGGAAGACACGAAGTAATGACAAACACTACCAGTACTTATCCAAGACACGACACGGTGATCAGATCAGATAGTTACCAAGTTTCGACATGCGTTCCTATTCCTTCTTCTACCTCGAGCCGATCCGTTCGCCATACAGCCCACGGCTCGTGATCGTGGCATCGCTATCCTCTCGTCTCGCTGACGCCTGACGGACCAAAACCACACGTCATTAACTCACTCACTCCGCCAGAGGCAGGTCACTGCCCCCGACCTCCCCCACACCAATAAGGCATGGTTTAGTTACAAAAAATTTTCACCCTAGTGTATGGAATATTAAATATAAATAAAAAAAAATTTAATTACATAATTTGGTTAGAAATCATGAATGTTTTAAGACTAATTAGTCTATGATTAGCCATAAGTGCTATATTTTAAGACTAATTAGTCTATGATTAGCCATAAGTGCTATAGTACTAACATGCGCTAATGATAGATTAATTAGGCTTAATAAATTCATCTCACAGTTTCTAAACGAGCTATGTAATTAGTTTTTTTATTAGTATCCGAAAATCCCTTCCAACGTCTCCGAAATATCCGATGTGACGTCAAACGTTTTCATTTAGCGAACTAAATGCAGCCTGATTCCGTTCCCGTCCAAAACGCCGCTTCCTTTCCCGCGCCATCCGCCACGTGGGTCCCGAGCGTCCGTCCGCCAGCCGCACTCACCGACGCGTGGGGCCTCCGCACGTGGGCTCACCCTGTCATCCAGGCGGCCCAGCTAGTACCCGCCGCGGCGCCCCGCACGGTAAGACTACCGCCGGTGGGTCCTCCCCCGGCCCCGATATATATATATATATATATATACACTACGCGCAAGCGCCCCCTGTTTCGCGTTTCCAATATACTAGCGAAATACTACAATACTATTATAATATTCCGTGCTTTTTTTGAAAACCAATTTTGTGCTTTGTCTCTGCTTCACTTCTCCGTTCCGCCAGTCGCCACCACCACCACCAACTCGCCGGAGAACTATTCCGGCGACCTCGCTGAGAGCTGTCGGGGCGCGGGAGAGGGAGGGAGTACTGGAAATGGGGGAGGAGTGGAGGGTTAGCGTCGCTGTCTCTCTCAATCTCTAGGGTTTGGTTGGTAGGCTGCCCGGCTGGGGGCGTGCGCGCCGGCCTGGAGCTGGACTGGACGTAGGAGCCAGCGTCCGGCTCCCCGTTGCAAGCATTTGCTGCGCGGTTGGAGTGAGCCCCTTTTCGCCGCGTCTCCGCCTTTGAAACTCCGGGGAAGGTGCTGCTGCTTCTGCTGTGGCCTGCGCCATGGAGCCGTTCCCCCAGCTCCCGCTTGCGTCGTCCACAGGTTGCGTGCACGCGTCGGGCTCCGGACTGTGAGGCGGAGGAGGGGATCTCATCAGGCGCCCAACTGGTGAGACCGCACTTTCGTCGCGCGCGCTCTCTCCTCGATTTTTTACACATTGTTTGGATGTTTTCGTGCTGTTCGTGCGGTTTTCAATTTGGTCTCGGCGGTTACCGGCCTTTCTGGGAGCAATTGGTGCTTGGATTACGGGGAGTTTCGCGTGATTTTGGTTCCTTCGCGTGATCTGCTGGGCTCGGTCTAGTACACCATTTTTTTTGTCGGTTCCGGCTTTTATTTTGATCACAAGTCGCTTGTGTGCTTTTCGTGCTCGTCGAGACCGAGGTCCATTGGTTAATTAATTCCGCTCGTCTTTTTCTGCGCTCTTTTTACTGCGGCCAAATGTTGCTGGAGCCCATAGTTTCTCACGGAATTTTGTACTATAGTATACAATATTTTTAATTAAAATCGGTAAAAGCAAGTGCATCTGATCCGGAATTTTGATCCCCCAAGCTGTAGATTTCTGCCAAGTGTTCCATGGCCCCGGTTTTCTTCGAGGCCCAAATTTCCCTGCACTTCTTTCTTCCTCAAGGTTTGTGTGTTTACAGCTTTATGCTTTGAATTTTTGATCCGTTTGAACCGAGCTCCCGGGAGCGTTGAAACTTGATGCGTCTGTCTCTGTGTTTTAAGGTCCGTGGTGAGGCGCAGCGCCCGCAGGATGCCAACCGAGCAGAGGCGCCACATGCCCCCGGCCCACTTTCTTCCGGTGGAGTCTGAATCGTCCTCCTTCCCCGACGAGCTTCGCTTGCGTCCTGAGGTGACCTCGTCTGTACTTGCGAAATTACTGCTTCAATCCTTTCTTCAATTTAGAGGTTTCCCCCCGCAAAGATCTATTCACACTAGTTGAAACCTGAAATCATAGGTAATGATGTTAACCTCAAAAAAAATCATAGGTAATGATGTTTCGTGCCTATATATTTTCTGGCCAAGCAGTAACTCTTTAGTTTTGGTGTCTACGGCCTACTACTCTGATGCAGAACTAGAACTAAGGCTAATTCGTTTCATAACGCCAAATTCTTTTGTAGAGGCAAGTTGGACTACTGAAGCAAGGTTGCTTTCCTGAGCATGCTGGTGAGTGCCTGAGCATTTGGTTCACATTGTGGTTGAATTAGTTTTCTCTTGACTAAAAAGAATTGTGGCAATTAGAAAACTAGCATATTTATAACCTGTGAGCAGCGAACTATCTGGGACCAGTATTATACATCAAAGTATCTAGATGTTCACATGAGAATGATGTTAATAGATTTGTCATCAGACATACTTCTATGCATTATAGTTTTGTTAAAAGTTTCTGTTATCTGTTTAGAAATAGTAATGATCAATGACTGTCATGCTCTAAATCGCAAGTGAATGAAGAACGAAGGTAGTAGTTGGGGTATTTGGCATTCATGTTTCTTCAGTTTGGTCTACGGATTGAGCAAGACCTGAGGATGTGTATCACATTTCCAGGAAGTTTTTAGGTAGCTGCAATTTTATGTAGAAGCCAAACAGTTGATTTAGTTGGCAACTGTTTTTGTTATGTGTCTTTGCAGTGTTCTCTGCACAGTTTTTTGAATTAAACATTGCTAGTATTACTCCATCATACCTATTTGGGCTTTTGGTGTCACGGTTTGGCGGCCACTGATTTGTTTTTTCTCCGAACAGGCAGATTTGCTTGTTCTCCCCTGCAAAAGCTCAAGCCTATTGGTGCAACAGTAGTGGATCAGCTAGATATTATGCAGCCATACAAGCTAATGGACCAGAAAGTGTCATTTGGCCTTGATGACAAGTTGGATGTTAAGCTGCCACCATCTTCCTGGAGAGAGGATCAGGATCCAGCAAACCAACGTGATTCTTTTCCCAAGCCATTGGTTTCACCTCTGGAAGGTAGAAGGGGAAGTTTAAATGGGATCCAATATGAAAGCGGACTTTTCTCCAGCTCCCTTCCAGACATTTTTGACAAGAAAAGTGAGCCATCATACTTTGTTTCTTATGTTCTCTTTGACTGAATGTATTTTGTAGTACTGCACAAGGAGCAGCTTGTTTCTACTAGCAATAGTTAAAATATCAGTGCATCAATATAAAAAGGAAGAAAGGGTCTGGGAAGCAGTTGGGAAAAGATGAATAGAAGAGAATATAAACAAAGCGAATTTACTGCCTTTTACCTTTAAGAATCTTGCTTCTTTATTCACTGATCCTTTCTACTAGCTGAAAGAATCCGCTGGCTTAGTGAACTTTCATCTTTTCAATTTTTTATACTGCATCCAAGAAAAAAAAGGGTCTGGTTCCAGCAACAATTTAATCTCATGTTCATTTGCTGCTGTGCAGTAAGATTAACGCCAAAGAACAGTGTTGTTGGTCAGCTGGTTGAAAAAGTTGATCTCAACCATGCCGATGACGAGCCTTTTGAGTTGACAAAGGAAATTGAGACCCAAATAATAGGGAACCTGCTCCCTGACGATGACGACTTATTGTCAGGTGTTTTTGGTGATATTGGGTATACCCATGCTAATAATCAGGATGAGATTGATGATGATATATTTTTTACTGGAGGTGGAATGGAATTGGAAGCAGATGGAAATAGCAAATTGTCAAAAGTAAATGGTGGAGCTAGTTATAGTCAGACTAGGTCAATTGTCCAACTGAATGGTGAGCGACCCTCGAGAATCCTTTTTGTCGGAAACATTGATAGCAACATTGAGGACTCTGAATTGAAACTCATGTTTGAGGTAAGTCTTTCATTTCATCTAGAGTTCTAGACATACCCTGAGGCAGAAGATTTGAGTCTAATGATATTTACATTCCCTTTTAGCAATATGGAGACATGCAGACACTTAATGCTTCTTGCAAACATCATGGTTTTGTGATGGTATCTTACTATGATGTAAGATCGGCAGAAAATGCTATGAGGGCCCTTCAAGGCAAGCCACTCAGATGTAGGAAACTTGACATACATTACTCCATTCCAAAGGTAGTAGTATTTTCATGATATAATGATGTTTTCCTTTTCTATAACATGCTTTTGTTGTGTCTTTCCCATCAATACTTTATCAATGCTTACTGTGATGTTATTACAGTGTTTGTTTCCTATTTATTTATTATTTTACCTGAGTCTCTGTCTATGAAATTACCTATTTTTTGCCAATTGGTGCTGGAACTATGTGAATATTTGTAAGTTTGATAACTACTGCACAATCTAATGGTGACTCTATTCTCTTAGGACTATCCTTTGGAGAAAGATATCAACCAGGACATGGTAATAGTTAACCTTGACCCCTCGATAACTAATGATGATCTGCACCAGATATTTGGTGTCCTTGGTGAAATCAAGGAGGTATGATACCATGATATAGCATAAAATCTTACATTATTTAGCTCTTATTTCAGGTGAAACGTTACTAAATAACTTTCTTTTCAGATTCACCCTATTTCAGACAATGATCATTACAGATCGATAGAATTTTTTGATGTCAGAGCAGCTGAAGCTGCGCGATATGCCTTAAATAGGAGTGAAATTGCAGGAAATAAAATCAAATTGGAGCCTAGCTGTCTGGGTGGTACTAAACGGTAATATTTATATATGTGACCACTTTGCATCTTAAACTTCTTGTGTATACACCCCACAATAGGCCTGGTCACCAACACTGAGCCACATTTGTATATGAAATCACCATGTCCTTAAATCTGTTATTTTAGTAATATATCTGTTCTCTGTGTGGCAGTTTGATGCAGCAGATGTCTCGCGCGTTGGAGCATGAACGGTTTGGTGCATGCAAACTGGGAAGCCCAAACAGTCCTTCAACATGCTTTGGTATGCATTTTTATTTCTAATATTGAAATGCGTTTTCTCTGTTCTATTTTCTGACTGTAAGGCATAATGCAAGGTTCCATCAATATGGCATCCATCAGATCCACTGGCACAGAAAGTGGAACTGTTCAGGTTTTACGTTCTAGAGTTCAGACACCGATAAACCAATTCCGAGAGGGAAGAAGTTTTCTGGATCTTCCCTCAACTACCATAAGAAGTAGATCCTCTCCTGTTGGAATTGCAACTGCAGGATCACAAAGCAGCCACCATGCTCTTGATGAGCACATCCATTCACTTGGAAAGATGAATGTACAGAACAAGGGACGAATGGATTGTGGCTTTCAAGAGAGTATTGCTTTCCATCCTCATTCTCTCCCTGACTTCAATGACAGACTAAGAAATGGTATCCCCTATAACTGCTCAATACCTCCCATCGGTGTTAAGAGCAATGCTAGAGTTCCTGAAGCAATGGATAGTAGGCATATTTACAAAGGAGGTTCTGGGAATCTCAGCAATCAATCTTCTGCTCATACTGAAGGTATCAACTATTAGATCTTGGTTTTCTTGTTCTTGTTTGGTGATCTATACATAGTATTTTTTGAGTACCCAGATTTGCATATCAGTTGCATGGACATTTTTTCTCTACTTGTTGGTGATTTCTCATAATGCCATATTACAAGCATGGATGCTTTTATGTTGATTACAAGAAACCTTTTGTATATTATGGTAACTATTATATGATAGATGATTGCTCACTTGTCTAATACTTTTTGCGCAGCACTTGGATTTTCAAGAACTGGCAGCTGCCCTCTCCATGGTCACCAACTAGCACGGAGTAATCCTAATAACCTACATCAGCAGCCTTCTTCTCCCATGCTATGGCCTAGCACGGGCCCATTTACCAATAATGTACCATCTCGCCAGTTGATGCAAGTGCATGGAATTTCAAGAGCACCATTGCGCATGCTTGAAAATACCATCCCTATGAATCACCAACATGTGGGATCTGCCCCAGCTGTCAATCCATCAATTTGGGATAGACGACATGAATATGCAGGGGAGATGATGGAAGCACCAGGATTCCACCCTGGGAGTGTTGGAAGCATGGGTTTCCCTGGCAGCACACATCTGCATCAGTTGGAAACCAATGGTATGTTTCCTCACAATGGGGGCACTTTCATGGACCCAGCTATGTCTCCTGCACACATGAGTGCTCCCTCTCCTCAGCGGAGGGGGCATATTTTCCATCGAAGGAGCCATGTGGCAACTATTCCATCCTCATTCGATTCTGCTGGTGAACGGATGCGGAGCCGAAGAAACGACTCGAATGCAAATCAATCTGACAATAAAAGGCTGTTTGAGCTTGACATTGAGCGTATAGTCCGGGGCGAGGACTCCCGGACTACACTGATGATAAAGAATATCCCAAACAAGTATATATCTGGGATTTATTCTAGTTTTCTGTGCAAGATCCTCTATACTTTAAGTCATACAAATTTTTATGTTCCTATAAACCTTTGTGGTGATGTAGGTACACATCAAAGATGCTTCTGGCAGCTATTGATGAAAGTCACCGGGGAACTTATGATTTTATCTACCTGCCAATTGACTTTAAGGTGAGAGGATCTGCTCTTAGTCTTGGTTAGCAGATATTTCTTTAATTTTACTTGCTTCTTTGTTACTGGCATGTTTGTTGGACTAACCATTAATAATCTCCATTTTCAGAATAAGTGCAATGTTGGTTATGCATTCATCAACATGATCAATCCTGACAATATTATTCCATTTTATAAGGTGAGATTCTACAACATACTTTTTTAAAAACTAGACGAACCTAAGAGGAACTAGCCATTTTAGAATGTTTTTGTTGCATATTACTAGCCATTTTCTGCAATGTTTAATGGTACTCCCTGTGTTTCAATCATAAAAAATACAAGGCACGGTTTGAGTCAGTGCGGTCTCTAATACTATACTTTGACCATTGATATATCTTATGTCACATAGTTATGACCACATGGTCATCAATGAAAGTGCATTCAAATATGAATCTAGTGGTACTAAAGTTGTATCCAACAATCTACAAACTCCTGTCGCTAAGAATTAGCCAAAGATTATTAAGGTTGGATCTTGGAATGCATGCACACTTTATAAATAGAAACAGATGGAGTATGAAAATGAAGAACTTTAACACATCTGTCTCTTGCAGACATTTCATGGGAAAAGGTGGGAGAAGTTCAACAGTGAGAAAGTGGCCTCACTTGCTTATGCTAGAATCCAAGGAAAATCGGCTCTTGTTGCTCATTTCCAGAACTCAAGTTTGATGAATGAGGATAAACGCTGCCGCCCTATACTCTTCCACTCCGATGGTCCGAATGCAGGAGATCAAGTACGCTCTCTACTTGTCCATCTATCTCTATTATCTGTTGTATCATGGCATATGACTATATGTGAACTCTGCTGCTCTGTATACAAGTCTGGCTTATCCTTGAAATATGCTAGTTTGAACACACTAGTTATTCTGCCTTTGCCTTATCGCATAACTACTGTAGACATTCTCTTGCGCCGTTTCAGCACTGGCTGCCCTAGAAATGTCACTGTCTGCAAGAGTCCTATGTACAACAACAAGTGTTTATATTTCCTTGGTGACTATCATTCTGTGTCTTGTTTCCCTTTTGTGATTGACAAACACATATTTAATGATTATTTAAATATTTTCTCCCCCTAATCTACAAGGTTACCACAATTTGCCAAACTTCGCCACACTTTGGCAGCTGTCTTGTTCATGCTACAGTTGCTGTGCCGAGTTTTTCAACTGTAGACCCCACTTGTCATGAACTCAAATTTTAGCCAAACCTTGCCTAATACAAATGCGGGCCACACCTTAGGCAAGGTGTGGCAAGGGTGCGGATGAGAACCAAACAAGCCCACTGTTTCATATATGTCAAATAGGGAATGTGGATAGTCTTTCGGTTTCATCATTTTGTATCTCCAGTAACCTTTTTTTTGTCTTTCCTCAGGAACCATTCCCTGTGGGATCGAATGTCCGTTCCAGGCCTGGAAGGTCCAGGATTTTGAGCTGGGAACAAAACCACCAGGACATTGTGTCGGATCATACCAAAGGAGGAACTCCTCCGAGCAGGGGTGGTGGCACTCCAGGTTACATTGACATGGATACTGATCATATGGCTGTCGCTTGAAGAACTTACCACACCACCCAACCTTCTGACAATTGCAATCCATTTTTTTTTGAAGTTGCATCCTCTCCCACTTGTTCTGTTGTATCTATATCTACTTCCGCGTGATATTTGGGCACCGGAGGCTCTCTAGACAGCTGTAGATTTGGTCGCTGACAAGTAACGAGGAGATGGACGTTGTGCCACTCAGTTTCTCCTTAAGGCCTGATCGAAGCATTGTCGTTAGCTATTAACTGAGTTGCTGCTTTGGAAGGCGGAAGGCGCATGCCGCTTGGACTGCTTCGAGATTTTGTGTAGTGCTGTAAGATGTAACCCAGTGTTGTACAGGTGCTGTAAGAATGGTTCACTAGAGGAGGGAACATGACATAAGAATGTCCACTTTTTTGGGTGATGTCAATTGTCAACTGTTTATGCAAGGCAGTCTGCCCAGCGTCTTTGGTAGCCCTCAGTCCTGCGATGCCAAGGGCTTTCGCAAATGCAGTCTGTTACTCGGTTCTGCCTGGGAGCTAGGTCGAGGTGGCAACGGGTAGTGAACATAAAATCTGCTCACTAGACTCATGGATTCAATTGCGTCTAGAAAGTGCTTCAAATGAGCCAATGGTAGCACTTATAGGTCAAAGAGCAGCTCCAAATGAGCCAGTGGTAGAACTTATATGGAGGATGAAGAGGCTCTAGGCCTTGTTTAGATTGCCTCAAAATTTAAAGTTTTTTCACTCTCTCTCCATCACATCAATTTTTGGACGTATGTATGGAGCATTAAATATAGGTAAAAAAATAACTAATTATACAGTTTGATTGTAAATCACGAGACGAATCTTTTGAGCCTAGTTAGTTCATAATCGGACAAAGTTTGTCAAATACAAACGAAACGTGCTATAGTGTCCAGATTGCAAAAATTTACTATCTTAAAAAAAAAAAAAAAAAGCCCCAACCGTCCGTCGAAAAATGCTAGCAGCGTCGAAAAATGCTAGCAGACATAATCATCACTGGATGACCCCATTGGCCTCCATAGGCCACGCCAAATTATACGGTGGCACTGTGTTGGCTGAAATATACCAGAATATTTCCGCTGTATGATATGCCGATGGGTCACATAGTCACGTCGAATCATACTGTGATATACCATAATATTTTTCGCTGTATGATATGCCGATGGATCAGCCTGTTCGTTTGCTCGTATACGATCGTAGATTATAAGCTGGAATAGTATTTTTTTCTCACACTAAACCAGCCAGCAGTAAATAATCCACGATCGTTTACGACGAAATGAACAGGCTGTCCTGTCAGATCATTCGGTACACCATGGAGACTTAGCCAATTGGTAAGTCTAGCTTGCCTCACCGCAGTGGCGGATATAAGCCTAGGGCCACTATGGCCACGGCTCTATGCGTTGGCCTAATTTCTCTACACTGTAGCACACTATTCCAAAAAGATCCAATTAATCTATTAAAATAAACCCATAGAGTGGCCCTAGGCGTTAGGCCAGCCCAGCTCCGCCACTGCCTCACTGGACGATCCGCAAAGGTCACAATCCTCTGTCGGAGCATACGGTGCACCACGATGAGCTTGCCAACTAGTCATTGAGTCTAGTCGGCTTCACTGCATGATCCGTGAGGTGACGAAGTCCTCCGCCAGATCATACAATGCTCATATGGATATTGGGTCAAGTCATTTCAGCCCAGGAAACGACATCACCAAGTGATCTGACGAGGATCAGCCCTATCATCCTGTGCATGCTCTGACATTATCCTTTTCATCATCAACTTTGACAGAGAGTTAGACTCTTTGTACATCATCATGCTCTCAAGTTGGATGCCTTGATCCCTTTTAATAGCGTGGCCAAAGAAAACTGTGACACCCTAAAATTTGCTCTTTATTGAAATAAGGTTAAAATAATTTAATTATGAATTTTTGTGCTCACGAAACATCTGAAAAATAATAATTTTTATTAAATTAAAATCCATCATAGGATTAACAACATTGTTGGTGCATTCATGCCTCTGTATTTGAAATAAAAGAAAAAGAAAAAAAGGAAAAATCTTTTCCTCCCCTCTCTCTCTCTTTTGGCCGAATGTAGCCCGACTTGCCTCAGCGCTCGACACTCCTCTCCAGAACCCAGGGGCTAGAGCATAGTTTTTGTGGTGCTCTAAATTTCTCTTCTTAAGGACTTATTTGTAAATGATCATCCGGAACTTATAGCACAACCATAAGTGCTATATGGCTCTGGCTTTAGTCAAGTATGACGATATTTTTTAGCTTGTTAGTGGTTAGTGGTTACCGAAAGGCGCAAAAGGGGCCTAACGAGCTGGGTATAGTGCGGCCTCTCTGTCCCTATGTGTATGGCCTACGCGGAATGTGCCATTCGGAAGGGGGCTCTATATCCCCTTTGCCGCAGAAACCTACTACCTCTGTCCTATAATATAGTGCATTCTAGGAATTTTAAAACAAATTAAGAGGAACATAAAAGACGCATGTACCCTCATTTTAGTTTTTAATCAGACACTATCATCAACGTGATTAATGGTGATTGCTTGATAAATGAAAAGTATTTAATGTAAAATTGGTTTTTGTTTTCTACAATGCATTATATTTGAGGATAAATTTTGAATGCTAGAATACACTGTATTACAAGACGGAGGGAGTAGCGGCTACTAACTTGTTAGGGAAGCCTTCGAAAGACTTCATAGCGAATCCTTCCAGCCTTCCTTGATAGTGGGTCAAGAGGTTGACCGCCTCGGTCGAAAGGGTAAATCAAGGCTCGTGGTGAAAGTCTACAACCTCTGCAAAGCGTAAAACTAGTATATGAACCGTGCTCACGATCACGAGCGGTCTTAGACTGGAATAGATTAACAGTAATGTATTTGTTTATGCTATTTATTATTCATGTTTACCTGATTATGTATTTATATGGGCTTTTGTGATAAACTCGTTGCTACTCAGTTGCTTAAAATTATGACTTATAAAAGCTAACCGTAGTTAAATCGGTGTCTATCTTTTAAGCCTCATGAACCACTTGTTATTCTGGTTGAGTATGAGATGTACTTACACTTGTCATTACTTTTTACTTGGAAAAATAGTGGATGGATATAGATGGTAAGAGTATCATAAGTATTATTAGGCTTGTGATCAACCAGTCGACATCCTTGTGACTCTTGGAGGCTTCACTTGAAAATTACAAATTATGATTCCGCTACTCTGATAAATGCTTAGTCTCTATGTTTATATATTATTCGATAGGTAATAAACATTACTATGTAATTTGTCGTCATATATGTGTGATTGATTCCTAAGCACACATATGGTCCTGCACTTGGTTTTGTCTTTAAAACCGGATGTGACAAAAACAAAGACATTAATGTATTATACATTGCTTAGCGAATGCTTCTATGACCATAGCTTACAAGGAAAATTTGCTAGCGGACACTGAAAGTGGAGGTCGTTTGTTGGCGAACATAAAAAATAGAGTTATTTGCTGAAATATACTCTAGTTGCTGACAATTATGCTGCTGGATACCTCACGCGCGTAGCCGTTTGAGGCATTTGCTCCTGTCTATATCCAGGGGCTCTCTATCTAGATCTCCCCTTACCAATTGCGACTTGTTGGTTCTAATTCTATTGGATCCTGACTTGACAAATCCACAAATCACCAACGAACGACCAAAACAACAATCGAAGATCCGGAGCAAAAACCGGAAGGACACGCTCAAACAACACGGCACAGCACGAAACGAAGGCGCTACCCGCAGGCCGAGTCGAATCGAACGAGGCAAACAGAAGGAGAGCTTCGAATTGAAGGAGATAGGCGCGGCTACTGTCTTCCACCAGCTCCATCGCGAGGCTGAGGAGCGAGCCGAGGAGATGAAGTCCAAGCAGGCCCTCTCGTGTCGTCTGCTGCCTACCCTCTTCTAACCGCACTTGCCGTCGCCGGTGGGGTGGGTGCCTGGGACGGGGGCGCGCACACAGCCGGTCCTTACCGGTGACGGCCTAGTAGGAGCGCCGCCGTGGCCCTGCTGCTGCCCGCGCAGGTACCCGTTGATCCACTTGTTCTCCGCCGCCACCATTATATCCTCTTCTGCTCCTTCACACCCTCCCCCTCCCGCTCGTGCCCCACCCTCGCCCTCGTCTTCTCTGCGCACCACATCCAGACAGAGACACGCCATTCGGTTGCAACCACCCCAAGCCTACTGCACCTGCACGCCTGAATAGATTACCATAGCAACCGGACTACACGCCTCTGCTCCTCCGCGAAGAAGGGAGTGCGGACGGGAGCACGGTGGCGACACCGTCTCCGAGAGGAGGAAGGTCATCCTCGTCTCAAGGATGGGCGGCGCATAAAGCCTGGCCAGAGTGGAAGCAAAAACCTGTCACACCCTTGGCCGCCGGCTAACCGCCGTCGACGTGAGCACGATCAAGGTACGGGACAAGGACGCCGGCAGGGCAAGCCCTCTGCCTTGGCGACTTGGATTCACTGAATCAGAAGAGTCTCACCGAACACGGCACATGGTTTGGGCACTTATGTGCCATTACAATCTCTGGCCACACGGCCCCTCATGACAGTACAATAATGAAAACGTAATACAACGCAATACGTAAAGCTAGTAGTGTAGACGGCTTCAGTGATGGTCACCGGGTGTGACATCTCCCCCCGCTTGAGTTGCAGCTTGCCCCCAAGCTGCTGCTTCAGGAAATCTGTTCTCGACGACATAGTAGTCCTCCCAGGTTGCTGCAGTATCAGGCAGACCCACCCAGGTTAGCTTCACTTGAGGTACGGCAGTATTGCCTTTCTTGACCATGCGACGATCAATGATTTCCCTTGGCGTTGTGTTAGCTGCATCCAAGTCTGTAAGGACAGGCAAAGTGTCAAAAACTGGTGTATAGTCTTCAGTGTATGGTTTCAGTTGCGAGATGTGGAAAACTGGGTGAATCAATGATCCTTCTGGTAATTGCAGCCGATAAGCTACTGATCCCACCCTCTGTAGCACAGTGTAAGGACCAAAATACTT